GCCTGCCCACCAGTGATGTATCCACCCTGGCTTTGGGGTGCCTCATTGTCCCCCTTCTTCTGTCTGTCTGTGTATATCTCTACCGCCGCCAGGTATCTCCTCCTCGTGAACCGAACCCCTATGTCGAGGCAAGTCCCCAACTACCATGTTTGTCACTGATAAGGGGAAGTGAGGGAAAAACAGTAATGAAGTTGCAAGCTAAGCCCTACAATGTTCAATAGACTCTTGTGAACCTGGGTGGAAAGCTGGTTGACCTGGGAACTCTTGGGCCCACAGTCAGTGAAACAGCCACAGAGGACTAGAGTGGAGAGTGAAAAGTCCAGCTGATAAGAAGAGAGGGCATACCCACAAGAACACCCACACTTGCAGATAATACCCACTGGACCTGGCTTCAATGACTGGATGATCACTGCTCAACTAGAAGAAGAAAGAAGAGGAAAAAAAGAGTGATCTGATACAATTTGATGAACTTTACCTATACCTATGGATGTTATAGCTCAAAAGAGGGAACAAATCTTTACAGCGAGGATCATTCCCACCTTCTCCACACACAGAGTAGACAGGGATGGGCAACTTGGACATTTGTTGTTGCTGTTTAGTGCCGTTGAGTTGATTCCGACCCATAGCAACCCTGTATAGGGTTTCCAAGGAGCAGCTGGTGAGCTTGAACCACTGACTTTTCAGTTTAAATGGCTTTGCAGTCTGACGTATTAGCCCACAGCGCCACACCAGTACTTGGACACTGGCTACCCAAAACGGGTGGGGAATACAAAGGCAATAAGTGACTGGCTTACAAGCTTTCAAGAGGGAGCCTATATCCAGAGGACATGGAGGAAGGTAGAATCTCCACCGAGTAGTATCCAATCTGTTTGGGTGGGGCTGATGAAAGGAGATGTGGATAGGTTTCTTGTGATACAACAGTGAATAACTGTTATGAGGACTGACTTTGGAAACGTAAAGGTAGATGTTTTGTAGGGGAGTGATTAACTTTGCAGTCTAGGAGTGGAGGTCCCTGGGACCATGAAGGGAGAAGAGCGGAGAGCGGGACCCTACCCAGAGAAGTAGTGACGCCAGAGATGGAGGTAGACGATGATGTGGAGAGATGGAGCGGGTGGGGACTTTAGACACAGAGAGGGAGAGGGGCTGTGTGCTGATGACCGAGGGGCAGGCTTGCAGGGTATACCCTTTGGTTGGTTAATGATGCATGGAGGGGAGTGTAACCATGCAATGAAATGATATACGATAGGATGAATGTAAAGCTAATGATCTCCCATGTAAACTATCATATAATTCACAATATTAGAAAAAATAAAAAATTTTAAGTCCAGATATAGAAGCTAAAATATTCCAAAACAAGATTAATCAAAATTCTAGAAAACAGACTGAATAATGGTTTATAAATTCCTATTCCAGTTATGTATACTTTAATGATACTTTCATACAGTAAACAATAGATTCTTAGGTCTCCTATTTTACAAACCATCATAATTTTAATAATGTACTTTGGCAACAAATACAGGGCTGCTATTTTTTAATTCTATCACTACTATATATTAAAATACATTGCCAGTGTTCAATGCCTTTGGGTTCGTTTTGACTCAGCGATCCTGCATAAAGTGTCTGAGGAGCAGCTGCCACCTTGAACTGCCGACCTCGCAGTTCCAAACAATCTTGTGGTCCAATGCTTATCCAAGAATGCCACTCCATGATTACATATTAAAATACTGTTGTTGCTGTTAAGTGCCGTCAAGTCGGTTCCGACCCATAGCGACCCTGTACAGGGTTTCAGAGGCTGTAAAGCTTTACGGGAGCAGAAAGTCTCATCTTTCTTCTGCAAAACAGCTGGTAGTTTCGAACTGCTGACCTTGCGGTTCGCAACCTGATTCATAACCATTATGCTACCAGAGCTCCTTTTTATATATAAACAACCAAAATACTACCTTAGAAAATAAAGAGCACTTTAGCTTTCTTCCCTAAAGAGAGTAAGTTCTTCCCAAGAATGAGTAGCTTGTAGCCTTATATCAGTAGTATACACACACATATATACACATATTTGCACATATGTATATAAACATTTACATGTACATGATAATGTCCTCATTTTCCCTGGGGGGGAAAAAAAAAGTTTGCAGACTGATAACATTATTGTTGATATGAACTAGAGTTTCTAATACTCTTCCAAAGGTTCATACAGAGTCCTGGTGTGGCACTGTAGGATAAGCACTGGATTGCAAGGTCAGTTTGAACCACAAGGTTAGTGGTTCAAATCTACCATTTGCTCCTCAGAAACCCTATACAGGGTCTCTATGAGTCAGAACAGACTTGAGGGAACTTAACAAAAGGTTCATACAAATGGCTCTGGCTTTGGACATGTAGGACATCTATTCTTAAATCTTATTACTGCATAAAATAAGTAAACTATAGAAGAAAACATTCAAATATTGTGTTCACCTCAAATGAAAGCTACATTTCAAAAAAAATCTTTAGTAACATGCACATCTGTCATACAGGTAAATAAAAAGGAAAATCCCAAACACATTACAGAATACACAAGTAAGACAAAGAAATCTTTGTATACTTTTCTAATGTTTCTCAGTCTCAACATGATTTTTTACAGTCACTTCACTTGTGTCACTCAGTTAAAAGCCTCATCCTTCTTCCACAGAGCAGCTGGTGGGCTCAAATCACCGACTGTGTAGTTAGTAGTTCAGTACTTATCCTACAGAGTCACAGCACTCCCACGGTGATATAGTAGAAATACTAAGATTATGATTATGATTATGAAGTAGTAGTAAATATTTTCAATATATATTGCTCACTAAAGATAATTTCTGACCCAAATATTGCAAGATGCAGACGAAATCTTCTAAAACAACATATGAGCTTCTTGGAGGTGTTGGTTACGTGCTATGGAGTTGGTTTTGATTAATGGCGACCCTGTACAGGCTGGAAATCTTTAAGGGAGCAGAAAGTCTCATCTTTCTCCTGTGGAACAGCTGGTAGTTTCACACTGCTGGCCCTGAGGTTAGCAGCCTGACTGTAACCACTACACTACCAGAGTCCTTACTGTTATGCGTCATCAAGTTAATTTCAACTCCCAATGATCCTTTAAGGCAGAGTAGAAGAGCTCCATAGCATTTCCTAGGCTATAAACTTTATGGGAACAGACTGCCAGGTCACTTTTCTCATGGAAGTGGGTTCAAACAGCAGAGGCTTTAGGTCAGCAGCTGAGCACACAACCACTGTACCATCAGGGCTCCTAACAAGCACTTACACCACACTAAATAGCAACCTATTTGTTTATGTTATAAAATAAAATAAAGAAACATACCTGTTTTATCTGCCAGTTTACGTTTCTGAGCTTTTGAAAGTTGTTCTTTTTTGTCTTTTTTCTTACTTGATGGGGCTGCATTAGGAGTTTCAACTGAGATGATATTGCTTATGGATGTCTAGAAAAAGTACACATTTAGACTAAATATAACTACTTCCTGAAATGGGCAATAATTGTTAGATTTATAAAGTACAAGAATCCTGCATTATTACTACTTGTTTTATTAGATCAGGTGACCATAGTACATTGTTGGTTTCACTCTTCTAAAAGTTCACAGTGAAAGACACAACATAACTGCAACTGTTATAACCAGGTCCCTGAAAGATATGTTACCAGCATAATGCTGAGACTTTGAGGTTCCAAAGTAGCTTTACAATTCAGTTAATTTGAAATCTAAGTATGTCTTTAGAAAAATCATATGTATCTGCCCAGATTATCCTGATTCTCTGGAGTCATGAAGAAAATTTTTTAAGCATTTGAGATTATGTAATTAAAATTTTATGACAGTCAAATTTTTTAAATGCTTACGAGGTGCCAAACATTGTCTTAAACGCTTTCATATAATATTCACCAAATACTACAATGTTCTTAGGTAGATAATACTATAACACCCAGTTTACAGATGAGAAGACTGAGCATTTGGAGAGTAAATTGAGCCCACTATTTCACAGTTACTAAGTGATGCAGTGAGACCAACTCAGAGTTCATGATCTTAACTGATCAATTGCCTTTTCTGTGTCCTATTTCTTCTTCTGCGTCTTGTTGGAAATGTTGAAGCCCGAGCCACTCAAGTAGAAGACATGGCCTTTGCTGTCAAAAAGCTTACCATTTGGTTTGCAACACAAAAGCAACATTAACATTGATTCCTGAAAAATTTTAAAGTCATGACTTGGTATGGAGATGCTTAAAGTCATAAAAGCGGATTATTTCCTAAAACCACTCTATAAATAAAACAGCTATTTTTTTTTTCCTATTCAATAAAGCCTCCTTAAACTGCAACACTTTCAAATTTAACTGTGGCAAGACAATTTACAATGAAATGAACTTCACGGATAAAGCAATGGTATCACGTTTAGACTACCTAAGAAACTTTCAACAATCTAAGCTTTATAAGATCAAATACATTTTCTAAATGCTAGGTTCTAGAAGGTCTGTGTTGGCAGACCTATGAAATATTCTAGAGAATATAATTTCATTTCCTAAGTGAAATAGAAGAGAAGAAGCCAAAAGTTCATTGTTCTTATTTAATTCAGATGCAACTGTCATGTTAAATCCAGTACAAGAGCAAAAACAAAAAATCCTCACAAAAAATAATCATATACTTACTGTAGAATTAATGGGATGGTGATTCTCCATGAATTGTTCCTTATTGTCCTTGGCATATTCAAATAACGTATAGGTCATAGCAGTTCCAAGATTAACTTCAACTGCTTCCTGTAACTTGGCTAATATACTCTGCTTTACAGCTGATGATCTACAACACACAACAAATAGATTGCTAGGTAAAAATTAAAAGGGAGAGTAAGACAAAAACAAAAATAACAAAAAATGAAAGTGAAACACTACTTACATGGTGTTGTTAAAAAAAGCATTCATAGATATAATTGGAGGTGTTTGGGGATATGTTTCTGTCCAGGAAATCTCTATTAAGAAGGCTTTGGGATCACCATTTTCACCTATCTGAAGAAAAGGGAAATCTTAGGCTGTAAAAAGTGATACAAAGACAGAGTATTAAATTATCTTTAAAATGATTAATTCCTTTTAATGCTTGTTTGTAGATCAGAGTTCAGGGTAAAGGAGTGAACTGAGTGAACTGGCCCAGGGTGAGATGAGTATCAACACTGACTTCTAATTTATTCCTATTCTGTGTAACAGGCTAGTACATGCCCCTGACTAGTATTTCCAACTTGCCCAGAACCTTTCCTAATGCCAAGATGACATCTTTTGTTTGACTACCATTTTCTGAGGATAAAAAAAAATTTATCAACTATGGGAAACAAGAAAGGGATGAACAAAAAGAATAATCCACAAACTTGGAAAAGTCCAAGGAGCAGGTGTTTTCAAATAGACGGGCCTTAGAGTTAACACCATCTTTAATTTGGGTCATTCAAAGTCCCTTGACTATTATAGCCACAGAGATGGTATACGGATTATTAAGTTTTCTACTTGCTAATTCTTAAGAAGAGATCTTGAGAGCAAGCAAATTCATATTCATTAACATACCTCAAGAGATCAGAAAATAAAATATAAGACTTGGAAGTAAAAAAGGAAAAGGCAAAAAGATAAGGTTAGGTTGGATAGGCAATACTTATATAATTTAAAGGTACTTTTCACTTCCTTTCTTCCTCAGCTTTCAATTTTGAAAAATTTCAATCCTGCAGAAAAACTGACTGGCATATTTTACCAATATTTTTACTCTCTCTCTCTCTTTTTTTTTTTAAACCCATTTACTTCATATTTTCCCCTTCTATCTATCTCCTGCACCTCTAACTGCACTCTTTAAAAGTGATTTTTGTTCAGGCATATGGAAGTAAGAATTCTAGTATGGCACTGTAGGATAAGCACTGGACAGCAAGATCAGTTTGAACCACAAGGTCAGCAGTTCAAACTCACCAGCCGCTCCTCGGAAACCCTGTACAGGATCACTATGAATCAGAACTGACTTGATAGCACTTAACAACAACATAGGAAAGTAAGCTGCAGAATATCATGATAACTTAGGTTTGAAGTAGCTCCCGAGAACAAGGATATTCTTCTTTATAAGCACAATACCATTTTTTCACCCAAGAAATTCAACATCGATACAAAAATGTTATTTAATGTGGTGGTGGTGGTTATATGCTGTGGAGTCGGTTTCGACTCACAGTGACCCTATACAGAGTTTCCAAGGCTATAAATCTTTATTACAAGAGTAGAAACCCTCATCTTTCTGCAGCGGAACAGCTGGCAGTTTCGTACTGCTGACCCTGCAGTTCGCAGCCCGATTCGTAACCTCTACGCTACCAGAGCTCCTTATTATTTAATATACAATCCATATAAAAACTCTCCCCCAATTGCATAAAACAAATAAATAGATTATTACTAACATGAAATACTTAACAACAGACCTGGGGGCTATTTTAGATTAAAAGAGAATAAAGGGACATGACAATTAAATGCAATTTGCATTATGAATTGAGGGAGGGAACACTATCAAAGGATACTTTTCATATGACTGGGGAGATTTTTATATGGATTGTATACAATAAGCACTAGACTGTGAACCACAAGGTCAGCAGTTAAGTGTCTACCAGTCACTCCACTAGAAAAAGATGAAATTTTCTGCTCCAACAAAAAAGCTAGTCTCAGAAACCTTATACAGGGCTGTGCTTAAGGTTAGACACGACAGCACTTAACAAGTCATTACTGAAGGTGCCATCTAGGAACAAGCCCCCACATGTGTTCTACTTTGCTAGGCATGGGGGACAGAATGACAGTTCTTCTCTTCAAGGGAACCAAACATTTAGAGGACTCATGAAAATGCTGTATGATTAATTGTTCAAAAGTGATTGGATAAAGTATGAAGAAACAGTGAATGGCTTTTCCTGATTTGAAGCTAAGGGAGAGGTGATAAATTGGAGGCCTAAATGTGTCACAGAGAAGAACTAAGGTAAGACTTATGGATGGATGAAGGGGATGGAAAGTATGTATAATGCATCCAAAAGAACACAGTGTGATAAAAAAAAAAATGAGGGGAATATTTAACAATCCATTATGAGTACTGGATGGTAGTGGTTGGGAAAAATTGGAGAGTAACAACCAAAAAGAAAGGCCTTGAGTGCCAAGCTAAGGAATCTAACCTTTATTTTGTAGGTGAGAGGAATCCACTAAGAAACCTTTTAAAACAGGAATGCAATGACTACTTACATATTTTAGAGAATTGACCAGTAGTCTGCACAGTATAATGGGAAAGCTGAAGAAAGAACTAAAAGCAGGGAAATCCTTTAGGAGGCTAACACAAGAAATGAAGGGTATAACTAGGACAGAGTCAGAACTGTATCCTAGTCTTTTGACTCTCAACACATTGTGTCCTATATTTAGTCTTCTTAAATCCACCCTAGGGTCACATCAGGGTGTCCTTATAGGATACGCACTTGTCCTATGTTGCTGTTGTTGTTAAGTACCATGAAGTCAGTTTCAATTCATGGCCCCATATCGAGTTTCAAGGCTTTAAATATTTTGAGGGAGCAGAAAGTCTCATCTTTTTCCTGTAGAGCAGCTGGTGAGCTTGAACCACCTATCTTGTGGTTCACAGTCCAATGCTTAACCTATGGAGATACCTTGCTTTTTATACTTTTCCTACAGCAGTCTACATATTGTGCTCAATAAATAAATATTGTTAATATAGACATTTAGATACACATAGTGGAATTCTATATTCCCATTACTAAGGGGAAGGTGGTAGTGATTAGGAGAGGCTGAGACTGTTGCTTTCAAATAGAAGGACCTTAAGAGTTTAATTCCATCTTTAACTTGGGTAGTTAAAAGTGCCTTAATTGTTATAGCCTTGAAAATAGTGTAAGGCTTATTGAGCTTGAAAGGGGATTGGAGAAGAGGTGAGCAGAGAGGAGAGTATACATAGGAAGTAAACTGTATACAAGGGGCTTCAAAAAGTTTGTGAAAAAATTCCATTATTTTTCAATTCAAATTTTCCATGAACTTTTTGAAATCACCTTATCAGCTTACAGCAATTGTATAAATGAATAATTTCTCATGTAACTTATTTTAATAAATTTTAAATAAATCTGTAAGTGACCTCTTTAAAATGTTAATTATAATCATAAGTCTTTTACCAAAAGACTTTCCCATTCTATTACCACTAATAAACATTTGGATAAATAATTTATCTTTTATTTGTTTATAAAATACTGGTAGTTTTATGATCAGCGCAGATTTATTGCAAACTGCATTTAAAAGACAAATCCATATTTCACATGTTTCCTCTTACATCCTAAAACAGAATGAAGAAAATATCAATTATTTCTTGATCTTATCATGTTGCTGTTGTTGTTAAGTGTTGTATAGTTGGTTATAACTCGTAGTAATCCTGTATATGGTTTCCAAGGAACTGTTGGTGGGTTGAAATGCTGGCTTTGTGGCTAACAGTCTAGTGTTTATCCTACAGTGCCACACCAGAACTCCATGCCACTGGGTAGTAAAAAGAATAATGGAGTTGGAACACAAAGGCAGGATTTTAATTCTAATGTTTGTTGATACTGCGAAATGCTGTGACTCTATAAGATAAGCACTAGACTGCAAACTACAAGGTTAATGGTTCAAGCCCATTAGTGTTCCATGGCAGAAAGAAGAGGCTTTCTGCTCCAGCAAAGATTTACAACCTCAGAAATCCTATAGGGTCGCTAGAGGTCAGAGTTGACTCCACAGCACTTAACGACAACAACAAATATTGTCAATATCAAGTTACTCAGAAAGCTTTGAGAGGTAAAACCATGTTTCTTCTATTTCTTCTATCTTATGATCCTGTTAAAATAAAAACAAGTTTATCTTATTTTTTTAAAAGTTTCAGAACTTTTAAAAAGTTATTAATGTTAAAAATAATTGATGTCAGGATGATGAGTTTTCATTTAAATGTGTCTGAAAAACCAAAGACATATTTAAAACAAACCACTAGATTTAATCAACAAAATCATCACCTTAAACAACCTTTTGTTTTTTTTCTAGCAAAGCAGCAGTTACTTCTATTCATGTCAGGTCTTACCCTATATTGAAATGAAACTGGACTTAATTCCCGGAAACTTTCATCTCCTTCATAAATAGAACGCAAAGCTTCTAGTTCCATCTGAAAGAAATGAATCAAATGAGTTTGGTTTAGTGGCATACACAGATTAGAAATGAAGGGTCTTCAGCTTCTGACTCAAGCCCAGTCAACTATGGAAAACTTGCCTAATTTAGATGACTGATAATTTGTAAATATCAACACGTTATCATAATAATGCTTACTTGAAAAATATGTGTTGAGCACTGCCAAACACTTTATAGTGTATGAGAGGGCTTTAAAAGTTCTTGGAAAATGGGAATAAAAGATAATGGAATTTTCCCATGAAAGTTTTGAAGCCCCCTTGTATTATCTCACTTAATCCTTATATCAATCCTGTAAAAACTCCTGTTATTTCCTCCCTCTACAAGGAAGGAGAAGGAGCTACTATGAGATAGTTTAAAACAGCTCTAAAGCATGTGCCCATTGTTACTCACATGGGCAGAAAGAGCATATTAAACTTGGAAATCAGAAAAATGAAACAAATAATTTCACATTATTACAAGGGAACATTTGTTATCCTTTTTACAAAATGATCAAATCTTGAAAAAGCATAAAAAGAAATTTAAAAAATAATAAGAGTTTGATAAGGATCTATCTTGGATGGGAGAAAGGGCAGCAAGAGAAAATGTAACTAGCAATCCTTAGAACATTCTGGGCTTATAAATGAGAAGCCTCAATCACTGCTTGTGATCTCTTAAGAGTCATCAAGAAAAAAAGCAAAGGAATACTGTGCTTGGATAAACAGAAAATATCTTCGTAATCAAAGAGATGTGTCATATGTTCTACATATAAGTGAGCTTGACCCACATGGATAAAATTTAGTAATGTACTATTAAAGAAATAGTTTGTGAGCACCTGGAAGAGGAAGAAGCAGTCCATAAAACCCTGGAAACAAGATTCTCTAAGCATGGAAAACAAGACATCCAAGTCCATGCCCTCCCTGGAAGGCATAACTTGATTGATACACGAGGAAAAGGCACAAAATACAGTCTGTCTGGATTTCAGCAATGCTCCATAGGGAATTCACACTATATTCAAGGATGTTGTCATTGTTGTTAGGTGCCATTGAGTTGGTACCAACTCATAGTGACCCTATACACAACAGAACGAAACACTGCCCGGTCCTGGGCCAACCTCAAAATTGTTACCACGCTTGAGCCCTCTGATGCTGCCACTTTGCTTATCCATCTTGCTGAGGGTCTTCCTCTTTTTCTCTGACCCTCCACCTTACCAAACATGATATCCTCCAGCGACTGGTCCCTCCTGACAATATGTCTGAAGTATGAGAGATGAAGTTGGACCATCTGGCCTCCAAGGGACACTCTGGCTGCAATTCTTCCAACACAGATCTGTTGGTTCTTCTGGCAGCCCATGGTACTTTCATAACCTCCAACACCATAACTCAAAAGCATCAATTCTTCTACGGTCTTCCTTACTCACTGTCCAGCCTCTGCATGCATATGAGGTTATTGAAAATACCATGGCTTGAGTCAGGCGCACCTTAGTCCTCAAGTTGACATCTTTGCTCTTCAACACCCTAAAAAGGTCTCATGCAGCACATTTGCCTAATGCAATATGTCGTTTGATTTCTTGACTGCTGATTCCATGAGTGTTGATAGTTGATCCAGAAGAATGGAAGTCCTTGACAACTTTAATCTTTTCTTCATTGGTAAGAATGTTGTTCAGTGAGGATTTTCGTTTTCTTTACATTGAGACGCAATCCATACTGAAGGCTGTGCTCTTTGATTCTTTTTAGTAAATATTTTAAGTCTTCTTCACTTTCAGCAAGCAAGGTTGTATAATCTGCATATCGCAGGCAGTTAATGAATCTTCCTCCAATTCTGATGCCACGTTTTTCGTCATATAACCCAGCTTCTAGGGTTATTTGCTCAGCATACAGGTTGAATAAGTATGGTGAAAGAATACCACCCTGTCATACACCTTTCTTAATTTTAAACCATTCAGTGTTCCCATATTTTGTTCGAACAATAGTCTCTTGGTCCATGCACAGATTCCTCATGAGCACAATTAAGTGTTCAGGAGTACTCACATTTCACAATATTGTCCATAGCTTGTCATGATCCACACAATCAAAAGCCTCTGCGTAGTCAATAAAGCACAGGTAAACATTTTTCTGATATTCTCTGCTTTCAGCCAAGAATCAACGGACAGTTATTATTACATTGGAGCAAACAAATGTACCCAAAAGATCTAGTCCTTCTATCCTTAATTCTAATCAATGACTTGGACAAGAACAAAAAATGGAAGATTTGTTAGTTGTTAAGTGCCATCAAGTTGGTTCTGACTCATAGTGACCCTGTATAAGGTTTCTGAGGAGCAGCTGGTGGGTTTGAACTGCAGATTTTGCAGTTAGAAGTGCAGTGCTTATCCTACAGCAGCACACAAGGGCTCAAAAGAGCCAGTCCTTCTATTCTTAATAATTTCCCACATTTTAATTAATGACTTGGACAGGAACAAAAACTGAAGATAGGAAATTTTGTAGAAGATATTGGTGGCATTCACAGGATGGTTGAAAAACACCTAGCAGGATGAAATTCAACAGGGTAAGTAGAAGAACTTGTAATCAGATACCTACATATGCAAGTAGTACATGATGGACATAGTACACTGCAACAGCATGAGGATAAAACACTTAGACGGTAAATCTAACCACAGGAAACCAACGCCACCATTGTGAAACAGGACATACATAAACTCAAAACTAGTCCACAGACACAATTCCAGAATAGCGAAGGAACTAAAAATAATGGATACATGATGAAATGCTAAAAGGGAACATTAAGCCTGAGAAGAGGTGTGGAAAACTGATTAGGGAAATTGTCTTCAAAGACGGAAAGTCAGTTTATGTGGAAATATGAAGTTTTTTGTTAAAGTGGAGCTCCTTGGGCCCTGCCACAGAAATTCTAATTTAGTGGTCAGAGCACAGATATGTTTTTCTATGAACCACCCAAGTGGATCTAATTCAGTGTTCATGGATTATACCCTGGGGTCCTGGTATAGCAATGGCCTGTTAACTGCCAAGGTCAGCAGTTGAAACCCAACAGTCTCTCCTCAGAAACCCTATACAAGGTCACTATGAGTTGGAACCAACTCCACGACATTGCGCAACAATAATAGATCATACTTTGAGAAAAATCACACTATGTGTGACACTGTGGGATCAATGCACTGAACCACAAGATAGGTTTGAACCTCAAGGTTGGTGCTTTGAACTCACCAGCTATTCCTCGAAAACACTGTACAAGGTTGCTACGGGTTGGAACTCTATGGCACTGAACAACAACAACATGCTCCAGGCTTCTTAGGAAGTCAAAACGGCTTGCTCTCTTAGAACGGGATAAGAAACTTACTTAGTTGAAAAAAAAAAAAAGTTTCTTTTTTAAAAAATATTCTAGAAGGCACTCAGATACCAGCTTGTTGGACTTGGCTCCTTTAGAGGTAACTTGAAGCCCAGAGAATCTATTAACATCTGCCATGTAAAAATACTAACTTTTTGTGGGTGCTGAAAGGGAAAAGCTGTGTGGCGCTGTGGATAAAAAAGCACTGAACTGTAAGGTTGGTTTGAACCATAAGGTTGGTGGTTCAAACTCACCAGCCACTCCTTGGAAACACTATTCAGGGTCGCTATGAGTCAGAAAAGATACTCTGGTAGGGTAGTGGTTACGAGTCTGGCTGCTAACCACAAGGTCAGCAGTTCAAAAACTACCAGCCATTCTGTGGGAGAAAGCTGCTCCTGTAAAGATTTATAGTCTCCACAGGATGAATAGGGAGGGAGCAATATATGAGTAGGGAGAGGGGAATGGAAGAACAAAG